ATCTGAATGACCTCACCCACCTAGGTCTTCATGGCAGTGTTATCAATTCCCAAGAGTCTAGGAACAAGAAAAGTTCAAGGTGTCCACTCTGCTGCCTTCAGAGTAGATCATACATTTGTGAAATGAATATGGATTGCATATTAATTATACTTAACTAGGTATAATGACATTTTGTTATATAAGAAAATGTCCATAATGTTTTAAGAGTTGTATACCCAGAAGTAGGTAGGAGTAAAATGACATGATGTCTGAGATCTGCTGAACAGCTTAAAATACTTCAGCGACAAGAAGAAAAAAAGAAGATAGATGAGGCAAGTGCTACAAAGTCTTTTTTTTTTTTTTTTTGAGACAAGGTCTCGCTATGTTGTCAGGCTGGAGTGCAGTGGTTATTCGTAGGCATGATCACAGTGCACTACAGCCTTGAGCTCCTGGGCTCAAGCAATCCACTGGTCTCAGTCTCCCAAGTAGCTGGGACTACAAGGGCATGCCACCACACCTGGCAAAAATTTTTTTATATTAATATATTTTTTATTATAGAGACAGGATCTCAAGCTGGTCTTGAACTCCTGGGCTCAGGCAATCCTCTTGCCTCAGCCTCCCAAAGTGCTGGGATTACAGGCATGAGCCACCATGCCTGGCCCAGCAAAATCTTAACAATTACTAACTTTATATGTACGTGGAATCATTCTTCTACTCTTCTGTATGTTTGAAGTCTTTCACAACAAAAGAAGTTTTAACTTCCCATTACCCATTTAAAAACCATATTATTTCCAGAGGATGTGTCACTATTTTAAAACTACTTGTATTATACATACAATATTTTTGCTTTTTACCATTTTGATTTCTGGAAAAGATTTCCGCCTGGCCAGGTTATTTAAAATGGACTCTCCAATTTATTATCAAAGGTTTTACCAGAATCCAGTGGGTCTAGTCCTATGTATCAACACACATACTTAATAAAGACCAGCTTCCATTAAAAATAAATCAGCATAAAAATAATTTAGACAAGAAGAAAGCCAAGACAACATTTAACCTCCAGTTATCAGGATTTGTTAATGGCAACTTGTGCTTCCAACTTTTTGACATTACCACCACCGTGATTTCGTTTTCAAACAGAAGAGAAAGGCTCCATTTATTACTACAAAGTTATAAAATAGAAAAGCAAAACTCCAGTCTCCCTTGGTGTACCTGCACCTCACCTCAATCCATCAGCAGGACAGGGGCCTGACAGCCAAGACCAAGCTCAACAGTTGCTAGGTCTCTGATGATTTTCAGAGTATATTCTTGATTAGCAGAAGCTCTGGAAAGGCCAGAGCAGTCAAAACAACTAGTATCAAATGACATTAGATGCAGAGAATCAAACCCACTGAATGTTCTGCTCACACCTTTTGTTCCCACACTGTTTACTGATAATCTGATAATATAAACAAGGAAGGTGAGTGTCAGAAATTCCTCTTTATATACAACTAAATTTAAATCTAAAACATATGGAAATTTACAATCCTTAAGTTTGAAGAAAAATGAGTCAAGCAGCAAGTAAATATAAAGCCATCAGAAATTCAGAAGAGTCAGTCACTTTTGGCATACATCATAGGGTTAATAGAGTTCAGCTTGATTTCCTACTCCTTATAAGATATATGACATCGTATGATAGTAATAATACTCATAAACAAACAGCTTCTGGTGTCACAAGAACTTAAATGAGTAATTATGTTCAGAAAATTCTGACTGCTAAGAACTGTCTTCTAATTCTTCAAAAAATCAAGATCCATGCATGGTATGGAGGATAATTCTTAAATAAAATAATCCATGAGTCAGCATACAGATTACTTCTTAATCTCTTTATATTTCTAACATGTGAAAGACAAAAACCATAGTTTACTGTTGGATCAAATACTTCAAACAGGCTGGGTGCAGTGGTTCACGCCTGTAATCCCAGCACTTTAGGAGGTCAAAGCAGGTGGATCACTTGAGGTCAGGAGTTCAAAACCAGCCTGGCCAACATGGCATAACCCTGTCTCTACTAAAAACACAAAAATCAGTCAGACATGGTGGCACATGCCTGTAATTCCAGCTACTCGGGAGGCTGAGGCATAATAATCGCTGGAACCCGGGAGGTGGAGGTTGCAGTGAGCAGAGGTTACAGTAAGCTGAGACTGCACCACTGCATTCCAACCTGGGCGACAGAATGAGACTCCGTCTCAAAAACAAAACAAAACAAAAACAACAACAAAAAATACTTCTAACAACAGAAAATAGAAACAGCAAAACTCCATTAATTTACTATCCAGATTTAATAACTATCAATATTTATTAGCATACATTTGAGATTTTTAAAGAAGCATTACAAACATAAACACAGGTTTTTTCTAGTTCCTTGATTCTGCCTTCTCACAAGTTTCTATAATCTTCCATTTTATTCAAAACATTCCCAAATTTCCCACATCCCAGTTCTCACCCTTTTGTCTCACAAACCCATCTTTCTCTTACTTCAAGACAAGTTTCTTAAAAGACTCTATACTTCCAATTTCCACTTCCCCGCCTCTTATTCTCTAAGCTAGTTTCTGTCCACTGGACTCCTATTCAATTCCAAGCCCTCAGAAACCCAAGGCTACTTTTCAGACTCCACATTACTCAACCTGTTGGCAACTTTTTTTTTTTTTTTTTTTTTGAGACAGAGTCTCACTCTGTCACCCAGGCTGGAGTGGAGTGGCTCCATCTTGGCTCACTGCAACCTCGGCCTCCTGGGTTCAAGAGACTCTCGTGCCTCAGCCTCCCGAGTAGCTGGGACTACAGGCATGTGCCACCATACCCACCTAGTTTTGTATTTTTAGTAGAGACAGGGTTTCTTCATGTTGGCCAGGCTGGTCTCGGACTCCTGGCCTCAAGCGATCCACCTGCCTCGGCCTCCCAAAGTACTGGGATTACAGATACGAGCCACTGCACCCAGCCACCTGTTGGCAATTTCTGAGTGAGGCTCACAGATGTGGCTGTCACCCAGCCTGAAGGTCCTCAGAATTGCAAATTACCATATTTAGATAATGGGAATCTATTGCTGGGACTTCAGCCCCAGAATTCTGGGGTAAAAGGCATCTGTAGAACTTAGTGAGCCAGGACCCACCTAGAGGGAAGTAGAGTCAGAAGGAATAAAATGTATTTTCAGGCTGGGTACAAGAAGCTCACGCCTATAATTCCAGCACTTTGGGAAGCTGAGGTGCAAGGACAGCTTCTGCAAAGGAGTCTGAGACCAGCCTGGGCAATATAGTGAGAACTTGTCTCTACTGGGGAAAAAAAAAAAAAAAAAAGTGCTTTCAACTACAACTTCAGCAAAGGGAGATTACTGACCAGAAATCATAGCTCTAAAAATTCTGGAAAATCCCAAAATCATGAAAAAAAGTATATGCTTTCTATTCAATTCACACAGACAATAAAGACTAAAGGAGCTACACCAAAATGTTAACAATGATTAAATCTCTGGATGTTAAGATTATGGATAGTTTTCATATTCTTCATTTTAGTAATATTTATTTTCTACAATGAACATGCATTTTTTTTTTTTTAAACAAGGGTGGGTGCATGTGTGAGGGGGTATGTGTGTATTTGTGTGTTTAAGCAAAAGGCCTGGCCTACATGCCTGTCTTTCAGTGTAACAAAAGGTGTTGCTAGGGAGATACAGCTCTACAGAACATCGCAGAAAACCTCCAGGGAACGAGTGGGTGTTGGCAGCTTTAAAGAGGAAAGAAAAGTAGGCTGGGTGCATGGGAAAGGAGAGCTCTCACATCAGTCTGGCCTAATATAAACCAAGAAGTGCCTGGTGTTCCCCCGGCGCCTTCCAGTCAGCCACCAGGTCCTTTTTATTCTCCCTTTAACATACCACAAAGGTCTCACCACTGCTCTGTACCTCACGCTACCTTGATTCCACCAGGCATCCTGATGGTGTCTTCACTTCCAACTCACTGACTTCCAATTCCACCTCCACATGGCTACTAGTGTCTAAACTGAAAATATGGTGGGCACCTGAATATATTTCAGGACTATTTAGAGTACAGTGTACTCTAAACCCTGAAATGTATACAATCCTCTGCTTACCTTCACCAGCTGGACTGCCCAGCCCAGACACCTGGCTCCAGTTAAACTCAATACCCATAGTTCCCTGAACATCCCATGCCCTGGCTTTGTGCCTCTGTGCACATTCTTCACTCTGCCTAGAATATGCTTCCTCACCTTATCAACCTGGCAGACTCCTACTCATCCTTTGTGTCTAGCTCAAAGGAGATCTGTAAAACACTCCTAGTCAGCAGGCTGCTCCCTCTTCTGTAGGCCTTATTCATTTTCTACATAGTATTTTACAGCACTTCTTACCCTACTGGAGTTATTGCTAAAATATGTCTACCCTACCAAACCATGAGATATTTAAGGCCCGAAACTACATATCCACATGCATCTGGAATAATTAGACACAGCAGACATTCAATAAATATTTGATGAACTAACAAATGTGTTTGTTTTTGCTATATATTTTTATAGATATCTCAGAAATAAATTTTCGGATCTGGAAACAGGTATTGACTGATACTGGTGCTCTCTGAATGAAACCAATTCAAAGTTAGAGACCTAACTGAAAAGAAAGTAATGATCAAGACAAATACATACTGGGCAAATGGTAAGATTTCTGTCATCTTAACAGCTAGGGACATCAGAACTGTATCGATTTCGAATTAGCAACCCTCTCATATCATACTTTGAGGATTACATATTCCGGAAGGGTTTTTGTTTTTCTGTCCATAGTGGTAGTGGCAGTGGAGATGGGGCACTGCTGAATGTCTGTTAAAATGCAAGGCTAATCACAATATGTATCTTTTCTTCACAATCAAATCAGCAAGAATGGCTGATAACCAAGGAACATGGAAAATTTAAGATCAATGGCAAGAAAACAGAATCTGCACCTAATTCTCATTTCCATGTATTTTGACTTTCAACGGTGCCTGCCTATTGCCTACCTGAGCTAAAGCAGGGATTGAATTTTGGCCAGTCTGAGTCTGCATATGAGCAGACTTGCTCTCTGTCAAAGAAGCTGTTATACTTCCATCATGCTGGGATTCAACTGTTTCCATGGTCATTTGTCTGAAAAGACAATAAAAAGGAAGACAAATTAAGGCCCTATCTTAAGTATTTGGAAATACAGGTTGAACATCCCTCATCCAAAAATCCAAAATCTGAAACTTTCTGAGCATTTACATGCCACAAATGGAAAATTCCACATGTGACCTCATGCTATGGCTCAAAACTTTGTATCTTGTACAAAAATCATTAAAAATATTGTATAAAATTACCTTCGGACTATAAGGTGTATATGAAACATAAATGAATCTCATGTCTAGACCTGGCTCTCATCCCCAAGGTAACTCACATGTATATGCAAATATCCTAAATCCAAAAAAATCCAAATTCTGAAACAATTCTGGTCCCAAGCATTTCAGATAAGGGATACTCAACCTGTACTGTTTTTACCTAGCTTTCTAATAACCATTTCTGACATCCAATTGTACTATCGGTTTTTTGTTTTTGTTTTTTCCAAGAAACAGGTTCAATAGTAGAGTCCTAACTCTCTCAGCTTTTCTTTTCTGCTCACTGAATATGAACATTACCAAGGGAGCACTGCAAAACGTCTTGTGAGAACTACCTTATTTTAAAACTTAAAATACTTATAATAAAATCTTCCTGATCATTACTTTAACCCTGCTGTTTAGCATGAATGACTGGAAAATTATGTTTCCTATTTTACATGAAAAGTATAAATATTCTATGATTCTCAAGGCCTAATAAACCTGTTTTATATTATGAGGTAGCGTGAAGGAATTTCCCCATTGTCTAAATTAAATGTATAATAATATTAAAATGTGTCTTGCTTTGTTATCACTAAGTCATTTCTGATAAACAAACCCCAATTATTGAAAAAAGAGGACCTAATTTTTCCAGGAAAAAACTTCTGATGTGATTTGAAGTTTGTGTATGAATTCAGTTTAAGTTAATGATTTCTATATGGACTCTTTTTAGAAGGCAAACTATATTATAATAAATTTTATCCTGTTAAAGATAAAATATAAACAAAATAAAATTTAAATTTAAAAACTTACAGAAACTACTCCCTGTTGTTATACATCTTTTCAGCTGTCAATAATACAGTATGTTTTTTTCACCTTAGTATAACTATATATCCAAAAAGTATATGGTCCACTTAGATCTCTGAATTAAAATATCCAAGTTGTTTTTCCAGATTTAATTAGTTACCAGATCCTACAGATCCTTCATCTAGTGTCTTTGACTTCATACCACCTTTTGCATTCCAGTAGCCATTAGCCAAATTCAATCCTTCCATGCTCAAACCTGTCTGCTATCGTCTATATTACAGTTATTTTAACACTTACAACTGACCAGGACAATTTAGAGCAATTATACCAAAATACAAACATAGAGCCTACCATAGAAAAATGTCTTTCCCTATATATTGCCTAATCCTTTACCTCTTTTCTTAAAACTTCCCAGAGTGGCCTCTCCAATTCTAGGTAATTATAGGTCATCATCACACATAAAGGGTTAACTCCTACTGTTCTACTTTTGGTTACGCGAGCAGTTTCCAAAGAAAATACCTCAAGACATTAGTTCTGCAGGTTCTAAAAAGGCATTATCTGGGGAAAAAGGGTAGGGAAAGTGCTTTGTCAAAACGTTTTAAAGATTAAAAGGGTTTCTTTCCCACAGAACAGCTCAAAAGCTTCAATCTGCTAGTGTGTCTTGAGAAGGGTGAAAGGCACAGGTCCAACAGACACCATTTTCTAAAAGTATCTGACCACCAAACAAACCCTTTTCCCACAAAGTATGCCTTAGCAGGAGTATTTTGGAAACCACATGGGAAATGTTGTCTTGTGCTATTTTGTATACCTTTGAAAGATAAAACCTTTCTTAAGGTTCTGCAACAACTTGGGTCTCAACTCAAAAATTACATGCCGAAAGGCCTTCCCCAGTAAACTCTATTTCATTCTAGAAACATTCATTTAGCATCATCTACATGGCAGGCTCTGAAAATACAAAAGCAGGTAAGTCATGGCCCTTGCCCTGGCGGAATCTATTAACTATGTTGTTGGTTTCTCAAATTATGGTCCTTGGACAACTCGCATCAGAATTAACGAAAAGTATTTGCCCTAAAAAATGCAGAAGCTTAGGCTCAACCCCAAACCTAGTTAATCAAACTTTCTTGAGAATTTAACTTCTTATATTCAAACAATTCCAATATGTACTAAAATTTGAGAAACACAGCTTATTGGCAGGTCAGTAATTAAAGTAAATCACAAGTAAAGTAATTTCTTTCTTTCTTTCTTTTTTTTTTTTGAGGCAGAGTTTCGCTCTGTTAACCCAGGCTGGAGTGCAGAGGCATGATCTCAGCTCACTGCAACCTCTGCCTCCAAGGTGCCAGCAGTTCTCTGGCCTCAGCTTCCCAAGTAACTGGAATTACTGGCGTGCACCCCCGTGCCCAGCTAATTTTTGTATTTTTAGAAGAAACGGGGCTTCGCCATGTCGGCCATGGTCTCCAACTGGTCTCCAACTCCTGGCCTCAAGTGATCAGCCCGCTTCAGCCTCCCAAAGTGCTAGGATTACAGGCGTGAGCCATCATGCCCAGTCTGAGTTACAACTCAATAACTGATATTTATAATAACTATCCTAAGTCATCAAAAAAAGGCTAATTATGTTCAGTATATTTTAAGGACAGAGGGGTACACACTGTGGAATCCAAGAAGTCTCCCATTTAAAAACAAAAAAAGTTTTAATGATTAAGAAAATAAACTATTTGGGACTCAATTTTTGAGATATGATAAAAGACTATAAGCTATCAAACAGATTTCAAAATGTTTTATACATGAAAATGTCTTGATACGTATCATCTTAAGAAATCATTTTAATTGGTCCATTTTTCTCTGGGGGCATTTCCCAGAGAGTTCAGTCCTTTGCCCTTTTCCTTTTGTCAGTATTACAGAACTTTCCAATATGAATACTATGGCTTCTTCAATCCTATATGCAGATGGCTCCCAAATCTGTATTTACACCCACTTCCCTCCTACTGAGCATCTCAACCTGGGGTTTTCATGGACATTTGTCCCTTCTCTTTTATCTCTTCTTTTAGTCAAGAGTATCATCGTCCATTCAGACTCCAAAGCTAGAATCGTGTATCTATATTATCAGTCAGAACCAGATCAACCACAAAAAGCAACCCCACAAAGTTAAACATCAGTCAGAATGCCATGAGGCCTTGAGCCTTAGGGAGAAAGGCAGAGATGGAAGGTCAGCAGCCACCCCAACTCCTCCTCCTTACCAGAATTTAGCACTGGGCACTGTCCGCTGTAACCTCCCATCGCCTCACTGGACAAAGTAATTGAGCTGCTGTTCCACACAGTTGCTGCCACCCACTCTGAAGACAAAAATCACAGACAATGGGCCTCTTCCTAAGCCACAACTAAACTGCAATGCCCCTGTACCCATGCCAGAATCATACTCAAATCACTGTCCAAGATATAAACTCCTTCCATATTTCATCTTCACTCTCATAACCAGTGCTTCCTTTCCCTCCATAATACAACCCCTCACTCCTGTTCTCCTTCCAAACCCCAGCAATGTGCTATCTGGAACTCCCAAAGCCTCGCAGCTGTCCTCTCAAGAAGGTACTGCTCATCTTCCCACACCCAATCAAGGTCATCATGTCGACTGGCCATCTGCTTTGTTCTCCACTGTTGCTTCCCACCTGCACCTCCTTTACTCCCTTGTAAAAACCCTTGTTCAACTGAGGCTCAAGGTCATCAGGATCCATAAGATAATCAGTATCTACTGACCTCCAGGATGTAAACTGAAGACTCTGGCTCCTGACGTAAAAGTCTTCCTCTTCACCATTCTGTCTATGTTCAACACTCAAATGAAGACCCATCCCTTACCCAGATGTCTGAGATCAATGACTTACTTTATGCCACTTCAGCCATCTACTGGAATGGTTGGCCACACCCTGGACACTGCCAATGTGCAAACTGGTCCAGCTCTGAAAAAATTAATTCTGACATACCACCCTGCCTACAACATCCTATTCCCCCAGCTTACCCTCTCCCTTGACCACTCCCATCACACTTGTTATTCCAGCACACTGAGATCTCCACATCACTTTCTCTCTGCCCATCCACCTCCCTCTTTCTTCATCTCCCACCCTATTCAGCTAGCATGGCTTCTCATTTTAATTATTGTTTCCCAGCCAGGCACGGTGGCTCACGTCTGTAATCCCAGCACTTTGGGAGGCCAAGGTGGGCAGATCACGAGGTCAAGAGTTCAAGACCAGCCTGGCCAACATGGTGAAACCCTGTCTCTACTAAAAATACAAAAATAAGCTGAGTGTGGTGGCAGGGGCCTGTAATCCCAGCTACTTGGGAGGTGGAGGCAGGAGAATTGCTTGAACCTGGGAGGTGGAGGTTGCAGTAAGCCAAGATTATGCCGCTGCTGTAAATTCTTAGTAAATACCAACCTTGTATAAAACCAACTCTTCATCTCCTCTATGCCTGCACCAAGGCAGATGAACAATATTGAATGAAATTATAAGCCAGAATAAGCTATTAAGGCCAAGCACAGGGGCTCACACCTGTAATCCCAACACTTTGGCGGGGCCAAGGCAGAAGGATCACATGAGCCTAGGAGTTCGAGATCAGACTGGGCAACATAGTGAGACCCCGTCTCTACACAAAAAACAAAAAAATTAGCTGAGCATAGTGGTGGGCACCTATAGTCCCAGCTACTCAGGAGGGTGAGGTGGAAGGAATGCTTGAGCTCAGGAGGTCAAGACTGCAGCGCACCATAATCGTGCCACTGCACTCCAGCCTGGGCGACAGAGCAAGACCCCATCTCTAAAAACATAAAATAAATATAGCTATTAAATTCTTGGTTTTCAACCTCAAATGGGCGGCAAACTGATGGAGTTTGCCTACTTGGCTTACTACTCTCCCATTCTCCACAACTGTTTCGAATGTGCTCCCTCTTCTCAATCCCTGCGTTTCTATACTGACTACACTCAATGAAAGCCCTTGCCTCCTGTCTCTAATTAGAACTCCATCAACTCCCCACACCAAATCAACAAAGCTATTGACATCTACACTCACCATGCTCCCTTGCCTCCTGCCTCCTCCCCACTCTTAAAATTCCTGTATCTGTTGTTTAGAGCCCATGCCCTTCAGGGGTTTATACTATCAATTATTCTCTCCCCTTCTAACAGTTTTTTCCTGTAAAGACTTAAACACATTCACATCTGTCCCATCTCACAACTTACACACACAGCCACAAATCCACTGGATCAGAAATCTCTCAAGCGATTCCCTTGAACCTCTCTTCTCCTTCTCACTGCTGAACTACTTGAAAGAATTGCCAACACTATCTCCGTTACTTCACATCCCACATACTCCTAGACACCCCCCCCCCCAAGTTTACAGGTTTCTGCCTCTAAAACATCTCTAGAAATGGTAACTAATCTCTGTCACTAAATCCAATGTACATTTTAAGTCCTATCTTTTGTTTGATCCCTCAGCAGCATTGAAACTGTTGACAACATCTTCCTTCTTGAACACTGTCTCAGTGTACTGATACTACATTTTCCTCTTCCAATCTGATTCGCTGACAATTCCTCCACAAGCTCCTCTGACAATTCCTACCCTTTCTCAATGTTAACCTTCAACGTTGCATGTCTTTGGGACTCTGCTTAGCTTTCTTGCCTCACTCTCAAATCTCTCCCTACTTCATGGGGTCTGTTTCTCTGGATTCAAGTGCCAGATTTAAGTCCACGACTCTAGGCCAGACGTCTCTTCTGAATTCCAAAATGCAATATCCAAATCCCTGTTTAACATCTCCAAACACATGGCCTGCAGGAATCTCAAAATCAATGGGTCTAGAACTAAACTCCTCTTCTTCCTCCACAAACTTTCTACCCTTCTGAGTTTCCTATCTCAGGAAATGGGACCCCACCATCCAACCAATTGTTCAAGCCAGAAACCCCTGAAACTCCCTGTCATTCCACACAGCACCATCATCAGGTTTGATGATTCTACCTTCTAAAGAACAATTAAGTCTCCTTCTCTACATTTCCATAGCCACCACTCTATCTCCTGGCTCCAATCCATGCCAACAGTTACGTTTCTAAAACATGTATTTCTACTTAAAATATTTCTTTGCTTAAAACTCTTTAGTAGCTTCCTATTGACTACAGAATAAAATCCAAACTTCTAATTCTTATAACTATAACCATCATTTATTGAGAGTTTGCATGTGGTAAGTGACTGGTAGTTTCGATTAACAACTCTGTAAGAGCACTATCATCAGTTCTTCCAGCCTGGGCAACAGAGTGAGACTGTCCCAAAAAATAAAAAATAATTAGTTCTTCTTTTAGCAATAAGGAAAAGGAGACTCAGGGAGGTTAAGAATTTGATCTTACCACAAAGGTATAAGTGGCATAGCCAGGTTTCGAACCAAGGTTTTTTTCCGAAGTCCATATACTCCATTACCAAACCACACTGCCATTCGATCTCTTTCACAATGTGACCCATTTTAGTTCTACAGCCTCATCTCCAGTCCCTCTACTCTTTCCAACACACTGCATGCCAGCCTCCTAATCAGACATTTTTTCAAGTACATATCTTACTCTCCCAGTTTTAATCTTTTACATCTAATCTTCCCTCTTCCTGAAATGCCCTTTACCCTTCTTTGTCCAACTGGCAAATTCTCACTAGTCTGTCAAGGTCTGGTTCAAGGACACCATCTTTCAAAGGCCTATTCTAACAGCCATGGGCAGAATTAGATATTCTTTTTTGAGTTCCCAAAGCATTTTACAAGTCTGTTATAACATTTGTGTAGCATATAATACATGTATTCACACAGCAGCATGAGCAACTCAGGGACAGGGATCCTATCTTATAGATTTCTATGCATTCCCAGTGCCTAGTACAGTATATGCTACATAAACCAATTATTCAATTATCCTGGAAGACTGTGCAACTATCAGGTGTTATTATAATAACAAAAATAACATTCAGAGAGATCAAGGGACTTTTACAGGGAACATAATAGGTAGCATGATGAGGGATGAAAAAGAGGTGTTGTGACTGTGACTCCAGGGTTCCTTCCATGGTCAGTGCCCTGTGTATTCCAGTTTGGACAACATTTTATGATGATGATGATGTGTTTTGGAGTATGCTGCAATTGTTGTTGCAATCTCACTCAGATATGCTTTCTCTTTCATAGCAAATGTATGGACTGTAATTTTATTCCATTTGTATTCTGTCAGAGTACCTAGCACGGTGTTCAGTTCATGTCATTTAGTTAAAGTTTGATACTAAAATTATTTTTTTGAAGGTAAAAATCATCTATAAAAAAGTAAGGTTAACACTAGCAATTTAAACTAGATATGCTATTTCCAGCCAGTTTATTCCGCAGATTTATATCCAACTGCCCTCCAGTACAACCCCCTAAACCCACTAAAACCCAACTCCTACACAGGACTCAGTGCAGAAGATTCAACTAACAATTCAGTGCTCAACATGGGTCAAGCACTGTACCAGGCATTTTTCAAGCACTATCTCAGCAGAAATGCAGGACCCCAAACTCAGCTGTCAATGTTGCACATACAACATTAACATCTATAAATCAGCCACAGCTGCTCCAGATAGAATTTATAGAGTCCATTATCATCTTACATTATTCACTACACAATTTATAACTAAATATATTAAAATTGAAGAGATGTCTCATAGAATATATTTCCCCAAATCTCACTTTCTAAATTAAACATAGTTGTGATATTAAATAAACACAGCTGTACTAAAACTAATAGTGTTTAATTAACTATGTAGTATTTTAATTTTAAACAATAATCCTTTTCAGAGAGAAAAGAACCAATTCACAATTATGAATTACAAAATATTTAAAAATAAAAACATGTAAGGATAAAACAAAACTAAAACAAACAAAAAAGTCCACTAAGCACTATAAATTAACAACAAGCAAAATACTGGCAAATATTTGGTTCCACAATTCTAAAAACAGGTACAAATTTGCTAAAATGGTGGCTGGGCATGAAGGTTCATGCCTGTAATCCCAGCACTTTGGGAAGGCGAGGCAGGTGGATCACCTGAGGTCAGGAGGATCACCTGAGGTCAGGAGTTTGAGACCAGCCCGGTCAATATGGTGAAACTCCATCTCTACTAATAATACAAAAACTAGCTGGGCGTGGTGGCCCGCGCCTATAATTCCAGCTACTCAAGGGCTGAGGCACAAGAATCTCTTGAACCTGGGAGACAGAGGTCGCAGTGAGCCAAGATTGTGCCACTGCAATCCAGCTTGGGCAACAGAGTGAAACTGTGTCTCAAACAAACAAACAAAAAAATAGCTAAAATGGGGATATTTAAATTTACGAACAACTAATAATAGCAGGAACATTATTTTCCTTTGAAGTTAAACATTTCTTCTGAAATCTCCTTTATATTATTTAGCAAACCTTTCTCTCCTTTGATAGAAAAGCAAATATTATCCCAACCTGTTTTGAATATACTGGGATCCAAATTAATAAAATATTAATATAACTATTGTTTTTTTAAAAATAGGACCCTCCATTAAAACATTTTTTTTCCTTAGAGATAGGATCTTGCTATGTTACCCAGGCTGGTCTTCTTCTCTTTTCTTGCTTTCTTTTTTTTTCCCAGGCTGGTCTTTAACACCTGACCTCAAGCAGTTCTCCCACCTTGGCCTCCCAAAGTGCTAGGATTATAGGCTTGAGCCACTGCACACAGTCTAAAAAAAAAGAAATTTTTAATAAAAAATTGTTTTAATACAAAATACAAAAAATTAGCTAGATATGGTGGCACCCTGTAATCCCAGCTACTCAGGTGGCTGAGGCAGGAGAATCCCTTGAACCTGGGAGGCAGAGGTTGCAGTGAGCCAGGATCATGCCACCGCACTCCAGCCTGGGTAACAGAGTGAGACTCTGTCTCAA